GTGTAGGTCTCATTTCAAATGGCCACTTCGACTTGGGATCCTTCCCTGGTAAGCATACAGCGCCACAAACAACAATACAATATCACTGTACGGCAGTGAATTTGATGCTTGCATAGCAAAATGTCATAGCCCTATTGCTGACGAAGATCATGATCTAAAATCTCCGCCGTTGGGGTGATCCTGAAGTGTATGATCAAGAGAACCATGAGAAAGTTAATCTATATAGCGAAATCAGAGCAAAAATGGATGGAACAAGACTAATTGAGAGTCTTCGTAAGGAGACCACTGCTTGAGTGGAGTGTCCCTCTGGATTTGAAGACTTCTTGATACCTGTTTATGGGCAAACCTTGGGTTTACTATACGAGCACTCGAATGATTCCCATAACGAACAATCGAAGCACCTGTTCGTTGGTAGCTCTCGCGAGCAAGTCGAACAACCGTCCAGGTGTTGGGTTGAGGTTCCAGGACCCACACGTACGCAGTGAGACACATTGTATAGCTCGTCCAAACGCCCCACCCCTCTTCATTTTCTGGTCTCATTCTCGCCCAGCCTTCTTTTCAACGGTTTTTCGTAGCCTTTTTTCACTTTGGAAAAACCGATTCACGCAGTTTCTTCACCTTCGTCGCACTATTTTCGATCTTGTCTTTCATTTTTCATCATAATCTGGATTACCCAAAATTATCGTGAACTGTGCCTTTAAACGCTAACGAGCGCGTTTTGTTCTGCTCAGGGTCGTTCATTATGTTGATTTCTCAGTCTAAATACTCTTAGAAAGGGCATCCAGAAATAATCGTTCCTCCTTCGTGAAAAGAGCATCAGGTACCATTCACATGAAAATCAACTTCGTTAGGTTTAGTCGTAAGAGCTTCTTCCGCAGGCGCCGTCCAACTCGGCCAGCATTCGTTCTGCCCGCTCGATGCTCGCTGTTACAAGCACGTTATAGTCTGCAAAGCAAAGTTGATGTAGGTAGAGGGCGTCGGCTTTCACTCCAAAGTCTCCTCATTCCAAATGACGTATGATAATCTTGAGAGCGGAGCTGAACAGTCTAAACGAGATGCTATCGCCACGTCGAACTCTTCTCTTTACCTTGACAAATTTCTTCTTTCTCTTATTTGCTAGAGGTACTTGCGCACTGTCGCAGGGTCAACTGTTCTTATTTGTCGTAACCACTTTTTTCTAACTGCGAAAACTTCTACCTTGAGCTTTTCTTCAAAGAGGTTTTTTATTGAACGCGTCCTGCCACATCTTCTTCTTCTTCGAGGTTCCATAGGGCCGCTTCCCTTCAACGTTGAACTCCAGCGCTTTTCTTTTCGAGTGGTCTGATGCCCTTCTCAGTAAGTGTCCGTAACATCACATCCTCTGTCCACTCATCTTCAGTTGCACACGGGGCAATTTGGATAACCACCCTGACGTCCTCGTTTCAGATACGATTTAGTCATGTCCAACCGCAGACCCATCTCAACTTCCTCGTTTACGTCGGGTGAAGTTTCCTTGCTTGATTCTTGCCTGCGGGGCAGCACTTGCTGCGGTAGAACATCGCGGTCCCCCCTCTACTCTATACTACATTCCTTTGAGCCTCTTTGAGCATCGCTCGTTGCATTCCACTGGATGCCCTCCATTTAATCTATGCCTTATTTATCCGAGCCTTTACAGCCTGGATCACATTTCCGTCAGCAGTCAGCTCTCTACCCAGATATCTGAAGTCCTGCACGTTGTGAAGGTTTCCCCGAAGCAATCTACGATTGGTTGTGCGCAATCCTTCCAGCTCAGGGGCTTGTTCCTTTTCAAGCTCAGCCGGAGCCCCTTCTCCGCCATAACTTTTTGCCATTTCTTGAACATGACCTGGAACACTTGACTCTTTGTTGATGAGAGCAGTTATCAGCAACAAGAACTTAAAGAGGCTATGGGTGGGTATGCATGAAGAACTTGTCCACGATAGAACTCAAATTCACAAGATTTCTAGCGCTCCTACAAGCACAACCTTCTGAGTACTACAACTTACTGTGCTATTACTTCTTGTGATCTAGAAGGTACTACTCAGTAACAGAGTTATAGGGAGAAACAGTGTCAGAGTGTCAACCGAACTCATTAGTCATTACGGATATAAAAGATCCCTGGCGCTTTCAAATAAACTGAAATAGATCGCTCGACGCACCTCGAGATCGTGATGCCCTTAACAGGCATACCCTCCGATAATTTCATTGCTGGTTTTAAGAGTGAGTTGCTGACCGCCACGGAAGAACAAAATGAAATCTTTGCATATTTGACTGATCCGATCAAAAGGGAGCTCCCGGCGTATGTCTACGGAGCAATGGCATATGTCTGTCACATGGTGAGAGCTTCAAACTGTCTATCAGATAGATATTTAGTCATTTAGTGATTGATCGTCCTTTTCAAAACACAGTGAAAAATGTTGAGTTCAGAAAAATGCGACCGCTACCTCGACACCTTTTACCGAATTCCATCTGCGGGTCACACGCCTTCTTGTGCGCCTGTCACTGAACGTCTATCCTGAAGTTCGCTTTTATACCTTCACTGGATTCCTTCGCCTTTACTTTGAGTGATGGTCTTCCAGGTACGTCTCGCTGCACAAACAGAATTATTTCTTGTCTTTGCCGAGTACACCATCTCGCGGGAAGCTATAGTGGACAGCATTATTTCAGTGCTAGCAGACAAGAATTCGACCAAAGAGAAGATTAAAGTTTGAGTCCTATATAACAGAAGAAATAGCCCTCCTCTAAACTGCGACATTTAGGGAGCATTGATAGTTATTTGGAAGTCTAAGCTAGCTATCAATTCGACCACCCAGACAAGGATTAAAATTTGGCAAGCGCTCCTCGAAATGAAGGTAAGTTGATTGTGCCCTTGCTACGGGTTGGGAGTAATCTTGGGAGGCAACCAACCCATTGTGGGGTAACCCCATGTATAGACCATTGGGACCAAGCATGAGGCCAAACAGACGTATTGAAAGCGGATTCATTCATAAATCATATGACCCGTGGGAACTTATCCTCTTTTACTGTCGCATGCACCAGCCCACCTAGTTGAACCTTCGTTACACCATTCCATAAGAAGTGATACCTCATAAATAACGTGCTGGTGCTGCATTGAGCGATATTATTGTGCTTTATTCCACAAAGAAGAAAATCACTTCAGAAACCACTTGTACCCAGGTGAGAAACTAAGATCGTCCACTAAGACCATTTTGTATACCAGCTCATCTGTAGTTGTGCGACATACCGAGTCAGTCTTGTCTACATAAGTCTTGAGTGAATTCTACGATTACGGGCGGATGATGATAACAACTGGGATAGAGGATGGAGTGTTGTGCGGCTGATGAACCCCGGCTTGCTTTGGATGCTGCACTCTATCGTTCATAAATAGGTGGTAGAAAAGATCTGCTTCCGCAAGCAGAAAATCGATCTGGGACTCGATGTGGTTGTGTCAATGGTCTCTACACCACCTTCTCCCTCTGACAACAATATAAACGGTTAAATATTAACGGTCCAAGACCTTCCTTTACTCCATGAGTACTGGTCTACAACGGTACCGCATTAAAGCGATAGCCTAGTCCTGACACAAGATTTATTGAATCTTGTTGAATTTTTATTTGAACTTTTCTAAGGACCATCATGCGCCCATACTGATTTAAATCACCTATTCTTTCATACTACTCCAACCGCTTCCCCTGTCCGTCTTCCGAACATGAACACTATAGATTCAAGGGAACAGTAGTACACCACATCACCTAACATCACCCTTAACTCCTCTGTAGGTTATGGACAATGACTGACTTCCGATGTGTAAAACTATTTCGATTGCAGGCGCTTGAAATGCATGCGCTGCTTGAAGTGTATGAGGAGATCTGCAATCAAATAGGAAGTATGCAGATGCCTTCCCAAAAACACTATGTAGGCGCCTTTGACTTGATTTTGTGCGAAGGATCAACCAAATAACTTTCTGTAGGAATGCAAGCAGTTGATGGCTTACTGCGATGAGATGTTTGAAAAGCTACACAAAACAGGCGAATGGGTGAAGTTCAATTCCAAAGATTATGTTGAGATGACGTTCAAGAAGAAGGCAGAAAGGAAAAAGGAAAATAAAAGGTGGATCTCTACTCTAACACATATTCTACCATTGCTTAATACAGGAGAAAACCTGGTACAGAATAGATGAGACAAAGCCATCGTGAGCAGCTGCACGTCAGACTGTTCGTCTCGATAGCGCGTACTAAATAAGGAACAGCGCTTCGCTAGGACGTCCCTAGCACCAATCAAAAAGAATATAACTTTGGTAAATGAGTAAATACAAACGTATGATGCTATTACGATCGTAAAGAATGCCTTAGGAGCTTCAAATAGGGTATTGAAAAACCTTCTATAATCTCCGATTGACCTCGATACAAAATGTGAGAGTAAATGTGCTAAAATTAGAATTGACTCACTCAAAAAATATGATAAGGATCAAGGTTCCAGTAATCGTGTAAGATATCTAATCCGAATTACTCGTTCAAAAAATTGTTACGCACATGAAAAATATCGAAAGTATACGTGATGGCATTGGATCTGAAAGGCTACTATGATTCGCGTAACGTAACGAGCATATGTCAGTATGCGGCGCGCGAAAATAATCTCATCAACTGCTGAAAAAAACGAGAACAAAACCCAGAAATCCCGTTGAGAGGATGGAACACGGACTGGAGACCCCTGTAGGAAATCGTAGACATCTGTGTCCCCACATGACCATTGATCATAAATGACCTAGTCAGGGGTGTGGTGCGGTAAGAATAAAATTGTCGCGTGGCGGCGAGAGGGGCGCCGTGCGCGAAGGAATATAGCGGAATGCAGTAACAAGTAAGAAAGACAGGAACGAATGAACTAACAGTACAATCATGCCAAAAGTAATAATCTGCCGCGCGCGGCGAATGAATTACACAAAACCGTTCCTACTGCTCGTCCCTCCCTAGTCACAGACTCCATTCGTCTCATGAGGACGTAGTGCAATTCGTCCTCACGAGATATATACTGTAAACAACAACCATCTGTGTTGAAATCTCTCCCCTTTACTGTCAATCAGATGCACTTTTCTTTGTTGCCATGCCTCATGCCACCATGGGTCTCTCGAGTTCGGCTGTGCTTCTATACATATTTTGCTTAAGGCAGCAGGAATTGTTGGTCAACATGCTGCTGAACCAATTTGGAAGGAAAGATTTACTGCACACGCGGCTCAAGCTATGCCGAACCATGTTGTGGCGATGTCAGATGGATGAAGCAGGTCTGGAAACCATAAAGGTGACCTTTTCTACTTCTAAGTTAATGACATGAACTTGTAGCTTAATTATGTTAGAACTACACGATAAGGGGTGAAATCTTGGACTGGAACTAAGGTTACCAATAAGGAAACATTGATTACCTTTGGCCAGCGATTTTCCAAAAAAAGCATAAAGCGATTGAGAAGAGATTATGTCATATTGCTCATATGTATCAATTCATGTACTTATAAAATTCGTCATGTATCGCTGTTTTGTAACTACTTACATAATTCCTATATGCTGATGTGTGCCTCGTTAGTACTCAATTTCCACAGCGTTTTCTATTAAGATTCTACTCTCTAAACTAACCGACGAGGAGCAGCTTTGTCGTGAGAAAAGTGCAGAAGAGTTGGCTTATTGGTTGAAGAAAAATAAAGTCCGTACGGTGCGAATGGATTGGAAGTGTCCGAAAAATGTAAGGCAGACCAGTGCGTCTGCCTCCATTCCCTCTACGATTTCATTTTAGGTACAAGGAAAAATCCCGTTGAGGTGTGGGATTCGTCCGGACAACATGGGTTTGGCTTATGATTCAGAAAATTTACCTAATACGGAGGAAAAATGGAACAACACGGTGTTTTTCTCAAAGCAGTTCGGCTGCTACAAATGGCCAGAGTATGTTGAGTGGAAAAGTATCTGGCTACGTTCAGTTGATTTTCTCAGCTTGCAGGTCAATAAGTGTTGTTGTGTTCGCCAAGCAACCACAAATTAAACGGCCGGAATTGAACGAGTGCGAAAAAGCGATTGTAGCAACTTTCGAAGATTCGCAGATGTTCTGTTCATGGATCAAACTGCTTCTGATTGAGAAAAAAGATCTGCCAGAACTCAAAGAAAGCACAGTATGGATAGTCAAAGTGCGTCTCATGTCCGCACTACTACAGTAGGCCTCTCGTATACGGGCAAACCCCATTGTCTGTGCTCTGCTCCTTTTGAAATCCACCGTTGACCAGGAGAGGGGTGGAAAGGGTGAGACAAAGGAAAGGGGCAATACAGAAGCTGATCTTGTAAACTCGAGTTCCTCCTATAGGCTCGAGCTTGAGGCACTAGGGAAACGCGGAAATATCAAAATCACTGCTTTTCAAGACCTTATCCAAAATAAGCATCGTATTATAGCATAACCTCTCCTTTACACCCTGACTGTCAGAAACCCTGAAGAACACCGCTCTGTTATATTTTGTACATCAAGCGTTTGCTCTCAAACGCAAACAAGCTTTTCAAATCAAATATCAACTACCATCATTTATCTTCGGAAATACCAACCTTCAGAATTGGAGCCTTTTGGAATGCAAGCCTCCTTGCAAGTCACTGAGGGTTCTTGCAAGCTCATTTTTTCCGGCTGCAAGCTGCCCTAATCTGTACCATAAAAACTACCCTTAGAAGGGTAGTTTTAATGGTACAGATTAAGCAGCTAGCAGTATACCACGAACAAACACTAGTCGATAAAACTGCCTTAATCGTCATTTGATTACAGTATCTCCTTCGGAACTTCCCTGATAGCACGGTCATTTTTCAAAATTTTACAAAAACACTCCTGGAACTACTGAAATCTCGTCAGGTAATTAGCATTAATAGCTCTACAGGTTTAGCTTTAGCTCTACAGGTTTAGCTTCATTAAAAGTTTTGGCTTACTGCAGCGAGCGCATCAAAGACTTGCCGCCGAAATTTTCGGCGGAATAGCGATGGGAACGAAGTATCGTGGATTCAAAGTACTAAACGACTTGTGGACAAAATTGTCTCATGCTGTGGATCTCATGTATGATTATATGAACGCCGATGCTTACAATTCATGGAGTGTCGTATTAACTCAAGTGGGTGCTACAATAGCTTTGTTGAAGTCATGAGAAAGGCTAGGACAAAGGACTCACGGTTAAAAATAGAACGGGTTTTGATGCAGGCAAATTTCATATTAGCCTCTTTTTTGAATCACACAAGGTTTCGAATAAGAAATGTATTTAGTTTCCACATAGTCGTTCAAGTGCTATGGGTAGGGAGTAATGTATTCATGGCGGTCTCCCTTCAGCCTAGTCTAGTAGCACTAGGCCGAGCAGAGAGAAATGGAGGGGTATGATAGGTGTAGGCAGAACGGATACTGGTCGATCAAGCCTCCCATCTCTTCGGGGTTGATTGATTGCTATCAGACTTATCTGGGATGAGAAAAGCGGGTAACGGAACTTCTCCCCTATCGCGGCATTCTCCATTGCGGCATGCGGCAAATGTCACTGCAATTACCCTACTCACCCTGCCTCCCCGCCAATCGATAGGACGCGATATTTTTCGTTGATTGCCTTGCTTTTTTATTTTCTTTGATCGTTTTTTCTTCTGTTTCTTTTTCGTTTTCATGTTTATTAGACTTGTTTAATTAAAATGACTCCTCCTATGTAAGCGGCGATCAAGACTGCATTGAAATTGAAGAAAGCGGTCAGCCCATTCAAATAAATAAAGGACTCCTTACCTCACAAAATGCGCGCTCCAATCTTCCATCGCAATCCTGCGATACGCGGCGGGTGCGGCGTGTGCGACGCCGTGACAAGGGAGAAGTTCCCGGACCCGAGAAAAAAGTGACTTGCACATCGGCTGGCCACCGTAACTCATTGTGTAGGCCACGTACACATTCAAAACGTCTACACAAAGCGTTGTCTGCCTCGGGAATGATCAACTTTAGTGAACTTTTTATTTATATTGAGTGGTGAGCTGCTATTCCAAAGTTTGAGCGAATTCCGGTGAAAACCAGCCTCAAGAACTGCGTTGCAGATCCATGATGTACATTTTACAAACCGATTTCCATACAGGTCCTTCATCGCGATGATACAAGACGGTACTGGTGGCTAATAGAGGAGTTTCTAAAAGGAATGAATCGTCGTGCACCAACTGCGTGGCACCGAGCCATGTGAGCTGTTCTTTGTGTAATTAGGCCTGTTTCAAACTACATAGATGCGAGCCATAAGTTTTCGATTTTGCAAAACTTTCCAATTGCAGCCGTCTTCTTGCATTAACGGCAGATCAATGGCGAGAAGTAGAAACTCGTCGAAGAATTTGTGAAATTGCATGGCGTAAGCTTCCGAAGGCTAAAATAGAAACACAACGTGTAGCAATATCCATGTGGGTTTTATGCACACTCGAATAGTTAACCTGGGTGTAGCATTACGGTCTGGCGTACAGTGTCAGACAAGTGTTACCAATGTTTTGCGAATGAAACCAAACTAATTCCCGTTTATTAAGAGCGTTAAAGAATATATGTGTCTTATTGGATGCAAATATGAACAACAACTTCAAAGACCTTCCCAAACGTTTCAATCTCGAATCTGTTGACTACTGGCTGCAACGTTTCGAGAATAATGTTAGTGTTCTGTGCCTTATCGCTATGTGCTTTTCAGTAGTATGACCGTAAGACTGTCTCATGACGCTTTCGTTTTCAGCTGGGTGAATCGGCAAGCACCAAGTCGGGTCAGAGCAGCGCGCAAGCTTCAGAGACGAGTTTGACACAGGTCAACCCCCCTGGAGTCTCTCTAAGCGAGGTGATCGGGAAATTAGAGGCTGTTGCATCAGCGACTACTGTAGTTGATAAGGTATGGATGAATGAACTCTTTTTCTCACATTGGTTTTTGGGCAATGCCAAGATGAAAACCCATTTGCAGTCCCAAATCTATTTGCGGACACTTTTGGAGTTTCTATTGCAATACTACGAAAACTGTATAACTTGTCTTACACCTAGTATTATATCTCTGTTCCCAGTGTTACTCGAGTACGCGAACGAAGATGATGCAGAATATGTGTAAGTACTATGTTCGATGTTCCCAGTGGCAAGAAATGTAGGATTACATCGGAATACTATTCAGATTGAGCGGTTCTCTCAAAGATATGGATATAAAGTTGAGCGCTAATACTCTCATACATGACTACATGTCCAGCTTATTACTTACGCCGAAGTTTGCAGATTCTTTTTTGAATGTTGTCACACAAGTAAGGCACAAGTGAAGTTCTTTGCACAATTTGATTGAGTAGAAATAAAATGAAATTGAATGCGTCTTTTTAACTTTTTGTCCCGACAGTCCCACTAAAATAATGCCAGAGAACCTGATCTCTATCAGTTCACTGCGATGCACAATTTATCGTACCCTATAGAAAAACTAGTCAGAAAGATCAAAGTTTCAATTGCTTCTGCTGACAACATATGATCAGGATGGAGAATAGATAATAAACTTGAAGATTCGAGCAGACATCGAATCGCAGAGCTTCTCCAGAAGAACAGGCGACAGACTCTTCCACTCCATAGTTATTGCTCTTCTCAACGATTTAACATCATTATACACTTTACCATTTGCATAGATCTTACGCACTAATACACCCAGACATTTTCGATGGGGTTTAGGTCCGGGCTGCATGCGGGCCATGAAAATAACGGGATGTTATTGGACTGCAAATAGGATAGAGTACTTCGCGCAGCGTGAATCGAAGGGTTGTCTTACATGGAGACGTAGTTCTTGTTGGTGTTCTTCACGATAAATGGCACCAGCGTTTTCTCGAGAAGTGAGTGTAGCCCTGGCTTGTTATTTTGCATGACGTGAATTGAGTACCAACGCTGCAGTCGCTATAAAACGCTCCCCAGATCATCAATGAGAAGCCGCCGAAGTTCCTTCGGGTCATAGGTAGTGCTTCTTTTCGTAGATCGCGCCAATACGAGTGGTATCCATATGGCCCATCTCCTTTGAATTTTTTCTCATCAAAAAAAACTGAAGAAAGGAAAGATAGAAAACTCAAGGTTTTACTGAAGAAAAGCAAGTTTCAAAAACACACCTCTGTTCAATCTCTGTTCATCCCATTCCTAGCGAAGAGGAGCCGTTTCTCTCGATGACTCTGTGTTAGCCTTGGTGCAGACTTCATATTCTTTAAGCTATGTGGTCCGATATCTTCAGGACGCGAACAACAGTCTATTTTTAAACCGAAATCCCACAATCTGCTGCTAACTCCCTCGCAGTTCTCGTTGAGTTTGATGCCACTTTAATCAACCGACGCTTGTCGCGTTCAGACGAAGTTGATTTTCGTCCTGGCTCCTTCAGAACACTTATTTATCGCTTCTTAACGACACTCGCAACTGTGCTCTTAGGAATATTGAGTCCTCTAGAAATTTGAATATAACTTTTTCTAAGGTAACGTATCGCGCCTATTTGAATCCCGTCTTCGTTCGTAAGTCGCGTATACCTGCGCATGCTTGAAAAACAAACATGTAAGCATGTGCTTTTCTAACAACTTTCAGATAAGCATAAAGTCTTTTCTCGTTAATTAATCCCGTCTGAAGGATGCGCCCCCGCACTCGGCTTTCATACAGAACCGTAGTGGCGTAATGAGTGCGTATGCGGCCTATACAATGACTTGCGGTGGTCAGCCGATGTACAAGTCAGTGCATTTATCCTCCCAAACGAGTCTGGTAGCAATTCACCGACCCTGGAGGGATGGAAGGCTTGGTTGGTCTAGGCGGATACTGAACCGGGATTGGAACCCCTTACAGTGCGTGTGACATAGTGGCCACTTGCCATTGCACCATCTCCGCATCTACTTTTAGATACAGGGAAGAAAAGTGGAATAAATCAATTACCTTAAATCTATCTATTGTGCATCGCCAAATCATCAATATTGCCCCACCAGAATTTTTCAAAGGCAATGTCATCTATCGATTATCGCGCCAAAGCTATTTGACCTCCTCAGCTTTTAGACCTTTGACCTCCTTTAGCTTTTCGCCTTTCACCCATCGGGGAGCGCATAGTGTAGAGGCAACTAAGCCAAAATCGGTTCCATATGAAAATTGCTGTTATGGTTATTCGCCATATTTTAGCATAGCTACTCTCCTTGAATACCCCTAGGGAAGAATCCTTGAAAAAAGTTGTTCAGGATACACAGTTGTAATAGTCCCGTTCGCTCCACTGACCTTTTGAGTATAAAACTGTTCAAATTCCATTACTTAATTCGTTTATATAACACTCTAATTGATAGTTCTAGTGGGTCCACATTCAATTTTGATTCATTTTTGTTCAACATTTGAGATTTACCTCGTAAAGTGTGTTACTGGGTTCGCTAGCATACAGTTTTGTTATCCTGGGATGCAAAAGAAATCAACGAGCTATGGAACAACATTATGAAAATAGCAGCAACTTTCTTTACAATCTAATACAACAAAGAAGGCCCTTATTATTCCAGTCATTCTACACTACGTATCTGTGGCGAGTTAAAGTATCAGTTTTGAAATTTATCCAAATATTAGTTTTTTCCAATATTTATGAACTAGAAAAAGGAGCTTGCCCCTCAAAGGTCTCGAGACTCATCTACGACGCTATTATTGATCACCAGGTGAGCTCGATAGGTTCGAAAGCTCGATATATCGTTGATTCCACAACATTGCTAGATGGAAGTCCGCATGGAAGCATCTCGGGCCATGCTAACTCTTATCCTCTGTGATTACATGAAACTTGATAAAGAGCTCACGGTGAGTTCTCAAATCGATTTTGCTTTTATTCCAGTGAAAGTCATTCGTGGTATTTGATTAATGCCCTTTATAGAATTATTTGAATGGTCTGATGAAAAGCAAGAGCACTGCGGCACTGCATGGAGCAATACTGGGGATGGCGGCTGTAGTACGAGCTCATCCTTTCTCGACACCGCCTGCAGTAAAGCCTGTGTTGCGGGCATTGTGCGGTGTTACCAGCCACAGTGCAGAGCTTCAGGTCTATTAATGCTTCATATTGGATCAGCCTGATGCTGGTAAAAAAATAATCTCTTGGCTAGAAACCTCCGTATTCACACTTGTCACACAATGCACCTTTAGCACAACGCTTGAGGTCGAACTGGGTAGTTCCTATCATAGTTCGCCAGCCGGGGTAGTGCTAGGAGGGGGGAGGCAGCCGGTCGGTCGACGCGGCCGGTCGCGCCCAAGCCTCTTCGAAGGGCTGAAAACAAAGAAAAACACGATCTTAAGCCATTTGCATAAGCCCCTTCGAAGGGCAAATGCAAATTGTTTTTGATCTTGTTTTTCTTTGTTTTCAGCCCTTCTAAGGGGCTTGGGCGCGACGCGACCGCGTCGGCTGACCGTCCGCCTCCTCTCCCCTCCTAAAACTACCTCGGCTGGCACGCCGGCGGACTATGAAAGCAGCCGATGAAGTAACATAAAACATTAACGACTTGATGGAAATGAATGAAAGTGCAGTAGCATAATGCCAGACGTATAAAGGTTACATAAAAGAAAGCTGCGCTTCTCTCCGAGGGAGAAGAGTTTAATGAGCCGTTGAATGTGGCTGCCCGCGCGAACCAGTAACTATGTATGATAAAAGTTTTCGTCAATGTTCGAGAAGTTACAAATTACTGTGGGTATCCTTCAATACAACATGCCCCGCAGACTTCAGCCAAATGACTTAGTACAGGAAGGATCATCGGGAAACTCGGCGAAGGTTCAACCATGAAAAGTGTAGCCTGGGAGCTCGGTATAGCTCACAGCGGTGTTTTAGCTCACAGCGGTGTTTCATGCGCAAGGAAAGTGAAGGAGAGCAGGTGACCGGCCATTATCAGTACCCGAAGCGAGCGCCGCTACATTATGCAACGGGCGAGAAGAGACCCACGTCAATAAACGTCTGAGGTTGCAATCACATTTAACAGAGCTTGGAGGCAAAAGATCTCACGCACTTCACTAGCACGACGATACACAGTGACAGTTTCTTCTCCCCACGGCCGCTAGGTTCTGTTCCTTTGACTCTCGCGCATCGGAGAGGCCGTTTACGGTGGTGTTAGGAGCACAGCGAATAGACCGGCGAGGAATGGAGCCGTTCGCTAATTTCGGATGACGACATATTCAGTCAAAGCAGTGATTCCGGATGCACTCTCATAGTGTGAGAGGTGGTAACACACTCGTTTTCAGGAGCATTGTCAAACATGATACTTCTAATGGTCGTGTTGTTATGGTATGGGGAGGCACCACGTTGCATGACCATACTGACTTTTGAATTTTCAAGCGTGTAACCTTACCACTTAGCGTTACTGTGATAAGGTACTCCTTGCGATAGACCGCGAATATGGATGACTATCATCGAAAGCATCGAACTGCACAGGTGGAGGAGCTCTTGGAGTGAGGGATATCCGGCGAAAGGAGTGGCCTGCTCATTCCTCCGACCTAGAATTCATTGAGCCTCGTGTGAAGTGCACTGGATGGTTACATCGCAACACGTCTAAGGCACCAATGATTATCCTCAAATGTATGCCATACAACAAAAACTCTTTACCAACTTCGTAGAGGGTACGGGATCACGTTACAGAGCATGTAATGCTGTTCTTAGTGATCGCACATCCTACTCGGAACCGCAACACTTCTTTTGACTACCATCGTGAGTCCTGAAGGCTCATGTGTAGTCCGTGTCTATGAACGTGTCATATGTATTCGCCTTCCAAATTTTCGTCAGTCGCTTTCTGCGCTAAATCGTAAAGATCTTTTGTACCTCAACCTCCACGGTGTTGCACAGAAAGTGACTGACAGAAATTCGACGTATGGTATAAATTTCATCGAGCCATGCTTTTACCTGGCTGAGGTGCAGCAATCGATGGCTGCCATATTTAACACCACATGCTGGGTAAGCATGCCCTTCTTGGTTGACTTCGTACGAAGTCCACAGGGTTTGGACGTGAAATTAGTTGTGCGTTAGAGTTTACGCTCGAAATAATCGTTTCGCCAACTTCATCTACGTATCCTTCTCCTCGATGAGCTGCTGCTGCCTCCAAACGCCTGTCACCATGTTATATGAGACATTTGCTGACCAACAATGTAAACATCTTAAAAAGAGGTGTCCTTAGAATCAAACATATTTCTATTCAGAAAACTGCCACAACTGCACTTCGCGAATTCCGTCGTACACATCGAGAAAATTGGGAGAATACAGCACAGCTTCTGGGATCAGACCTTGTATTCAAAATCGAAAATGCTATTGCTCCTCTTTATTATGCCTGAAATAATATTCTGCCAAAACATTATCTCCTTGGCATTCTCCATTAACTTTATTTCTCTTAAGCTCTTTGCAGTTAAGAATCTCTCATCACGCCTACGTAACACTAATTCTGTTGATACGTTACAATACTAATCATCAGATCGATGTTCTGAGCTGTGATGTTTTATTCCTTTTATAAAGATAGATGATTATGTGTCGAGGCGTCCTCATTTGACTGCACTGCAAATGTTCTGAAGACGTTGAATCGTACTTGCTGCTCGGCTGAGTTGCCGTTATGATCCGCTCCGCAGAAAAAAGCTAATATAGGTTGGAAGGAAAGTCCTGCAACAAAAAATTTGAAGCGTCAGCAATTTGTATCAACAGTGTGAACATGGAAGCAAGAGTGGTAACCTTGTAGGACATTCCTTAGGTAATCACCACATGAGTAAATAGGGCAAGCGTGTGAGTTTTAGCAGGATTACGGTCAATGAATGGACAACACCCAATTCGTACCATCACATTCTTCTAAGCACGCCAAGGGAAAAACGCGGGTGTAGCGGTTCAAATTATCAGCTGCTTATTCAATGCTGTCACTGCTCACCGATCAACGATCAACAATCGGTTGGATCGCTTCATTGGATGAGATACTAGCCTTTGAAGTTACACAAGCATCGTCCCTTAATTCAATGGAGGTTATAGGGAGCCATCCATTATGAGCTGCTAAACGCAGACTAGATGGACACAGCTATCGGTTACCCCTATGAACACTGAAATTTGGCCAACAGGGTTAGAGAAGAACGATCAAAACCGTAAATCAGGTCCCCACAGAGGGACAGCGCACGTCGAAATTTCGCTTTAAACACGTGTCAAAAGTTCTACGATTTCAAGTGATTTTAGGTTGTTCATCAGTCGTACTCCCTAAGTGTTGACCCTTTTAACAACCATGCACACCGCCTCCTTGAGCATACCGTTGTGGAAAAAAATCGTAACTTAACGTGATCTGAAGACGGCAGTCAATTGCTTCTTTGAGTCACAGCTTCCTCACTCCTNGATAGTCTTCATCTATAATAAGATACAAAAATGTGAAATGATGCATTTGAGTTTTGGTGGAGGCATATTGCAGTATGTCGTTGTAGTAGAGCACATCCCCCAATGGAATAAGGCTCAACTGTCTCCTTTTACTTATATCTCAGTGTCAATTACGCTAAGAGACACAGCCTGTGAAGCCATTCCTGAGCAATAGTCTTCATCTATAATAAGATACAAAAATGTGAAATGATGCATTTGAGTTTTGGTGGGAGGCATATTGCAGTATGTCGTTGTAGTAGAGCACATCCCCCAATGGAATAAGGCTCAACTGTCTCCTTTTACTTATATCTCAGTGTCAATTACGCTAATGCAACTTCGAGCTATTGGTTTCCTCCAATTGCATCGTGATATTGAAGTGGTAACTAAAATTCAAGACAAAGCAGTACTGTCAGCAACATTGTAGAAACTGGTGCACTCATTCGCAGAAGGAGGGTCATCGAAGACAAACTCCGGTCGGAACTCCTCGCGGTGTGAATGATAGTGCCAATAGGGAGGCTGGCATCCACGGTCCTGCCCAGAACTCAGGAGTTACCAAACAGAAGTCGTGGGCCCACTCATGGTCTTCGCTACAGATAAACGCTAACTTAGTGGTCCCTCATATTTCACGGAAAACGAGCGCGAAGGAAGTGTGGCCATCTGTCGTTCTATCTTTTTCCGCTCCTACCGAAACAGCTTGGGGATTAATTACTGGAGACAAATTTAAATACCTCGTTGTTTTCAATGCAACTGCCGCAAAGCTCTCTAGAGGAAAAGACTTGTGAGACGCACAACAAAACGATTCCCCATCTCAAGGAGTGTTTTCGCTGTTTCCGGGTTTCGTAGAGTACAAGCTGCTCTCCAGCGTCGCACTGTCAGTGGCCCTGATTGCGCTAGGCAGCAGCAGAAAATCGCGGAGGTCGTTCGAGAGGATTTGTTGAAACCAGCTTCTGTACAAGTCCTCCACGAGAATTTTAGACCCTTATCGCTAACAACACTATGAACAGGTGGGTGAAGTGGAGGAACTAGGCTGGCTTACGGTCTTATACCCACCGTATTCCTTGGGGAATCCATCCTGAGATCAGCACTGCGACCTCGAAAAGCATTCCTTGCTACGAAAAAATCACCGAGGTTAATATGTTGAACGAGAGATCAGCGATTTCATCGACTCTGAGTAAAAAAAAAACAAGTCAGAAAAACCGGATGTGGAAGGACTATGACATCATAAAGGTGTTCCACCACTGAAATCGCTGTTTCCTGCGACTGTGTCCGCATACTCGACTGAGAGCCGAACTCGCGGGAATGAGCGCAATTTCAGCAAAGATACGATGTCAAGTTGGAATAAGTAGGACCAAGTTACCCAAACACGAAAGACTCCGGCATGACATGACGCACACCGACACGCCCCCCCCCCCCCCCCCCCCCCCTCACCCCCGCGGTAGGCGCTAATACGAAAAACGGTGAAAATGTATTAGGGGACCACCCATTCAAAGGCTAGAATATCAAGAAATGACTTCAATGAAACGTGCTAAGGCGTGTGATATCACGGATATGCCAGTTTTCAAATAAGGGCTTTCGTAGGGAAGAAACACCGCGGTGGGCAAGTTTTCTTTCATTTTTTCTTTTTTTTTCGCACGAGTATTCATCCCAGCCACCCATGTGCTCCTACCCTACCCAGGCTTATTTGGCAAACTAAATTTCCCTAGCTAAAACCGCATAAAAGAGCACAGATGGTAGGTTCCCATCATCCTCTTCGCAATCGATACAGTGCCAGTATAACAAGGACTAACACATCAGTCTAAGTTCAAATCTTGTTATACTGACCTTAGGATGGGTGCCCCCCAACTACATTTTCACCCGAAAGACCTCAGCATCACTCCGCCGAAGTCTTGCGTATTAACGCCTAACGCGGGCGGTTTGTGTCGTGTGCGCGTTCTGCCGAAAATCACTGAGTAGCCTATGTTCCCCTAGACAACGGTATCCAAATTTGGAAAAGGTGGAGGCGGGGGCCAGTTTCACGCGAAAAGGAGAGCTCGGCGTTAGCCGAGTATTTCGACTGTTTGGCTTTGGTAGTGTAAAGCAGCGAAGTGTGTAAGGGCAATAAGCAAGTACCAAAAGAACTCACTGGCCTCTGCCTCGTAAAAAGCCTCATCAGCCATATTATTTACTTTCACACACGCCCTCTTATCTGCGACCTAATAAAATCGCACATCACCAACTAACGAGCCAAAGATTGTTCAGTTACACGAAGGGCGCGATAGAGTTTTCGGCTCCTACCTTGCATTGCTCCTTATCACTTAACCCCACCTTACTCATCACTTATGAAGCTTTCACTGTTGACGCGCGCGGAGCCCATAACAGATCGGGGGTCTTTCGCCTTTCAGGACTCTTTTTCATCTCTATTGTGTTGCTATAACTTGCTGTCAACAACCATCTACGACCTCGTCACACCTACATCAATCAGCTGTGGCTGTGGCCCTTGCTTGTATTGCTCCTTATCGAATCTTATCAGTGCTTATTGTGACCAAACACCTCAGTCCCTCTGCACCCCATTTCATACACAAGGGAGCCAAATTTCCCCAGTCAGCTTAGAGGGTCGACTAACCGACCAAGTGCCTCTTGCCTTCCTTGTTTCCCTATCAACCCTATCAGTTGCTTTCATTTCTGTCGCCAATTAGTCAAGGATCCTTCGCACCGCGCTTCATCCAAATAAGAGCCAGGACGAAAGAAAGAAGGAACGAACGAACGAAGAATTTCAAGACGAATGGCTTGACGGGGTAAGCGACTTTAGCCTTCTACAACACTTCATCACACCTTATTTCTTGCTATTTGTCAAAAACTATCTACAGTTCCTCTACTAAAAAATGCACCTCCATCAACTGCTATCAGTATCTGTGACCAAGGATCAATGGTCCTGATAGATTATAATTCATCGAGGTCTCAAGGACCCACTGTTGACAGGGAAGTAGGAACCTCCTCAGTGTCTATTACTTTCTGGTGCTCACTATCAGTTTCTTTAAGTTGTTAGCAATCACTACCACCCCCATCTGCGGTCCCTTTTCAACTCACAACACTAGTTTCCCACTGTTAACATGAGCAAGTGGGTTCTGTTGCTCTTGCCTTCTACAGCTCCTTATCAGTTCCTATCAATTACGATCACTTTCTATCACCCAGCGTTAGTGGTCACATCCTGCCCCCTAAATCTTTTTCAAATTAAAACGCTATGCTCTGGGCCCACTGGTCCAGTCACGAATTCCCAGTCAAACGCACACTCATACACCCAAACATGCTCACACAAAAACACCTACAAACCAACATACACCCTTGGAGAACGACTGAACTTGAAATCTCCATTGGTTGTACTGCTCATGAGATTAGATGCTCTTCAATATTTTTTCCAGTTATTAGATACGCTTACCGAAGGTGTCACGCAATGTTTACATTCGCAACAATCTTCTTCCAAGACTTTTTGCCCTCGTCCTCTTTTACCATTTTTCCTTTACGCCTCAGAAATGTGGGAGAAAGCAGCAATTGTGAATCTTTTTCACACCACGCTTTATTTTGGTCGGAGGTTTTTCTGGTCCTTCTTCGATATTTACATAGTTAATGCCTGATTCTAATAACTTTTGTCCACCTCTTTGTTTCAGAATTTGCAGAAACTTCGGCGCCTGATCAATACTCAGTGATAATCATGGTGACAATTGTTGTAGGCTTATTAGAAAGCACGCCTTCTCTCCTATCCGTTAGGATCGATCCCACTTATTCCCAACACATTATTGATCAACCACTTTCAGAAGATGTTAGGTTTTCAATTCACAAAACCTCTGCCTAATATTAGGTTGAGTCATAAGTTCTCGGACAAAATGATAGCGATGACTTCTAGGGATCATATTTCGGGAAGGAGGAGACGAAAATGAACGCGCGTGGGATTGTTAGATAGAGTATGAAAAGCTCTTCAAAACACATGCTACCGAACACACCAAACTACTTCCTTTCCTGCATCCATGTCCCATGATTTCAAGCCGTCGCAACTTCACCTCCGCAACACTATCCTATTTCTTTTTTATCTGGCTAAGAACCCGCGGCCATTCCTTCGAAAATGAAGACCGTCCGGGACGCTCAATAGAGTTGGATTTGGAGGTGCTGCGGAGCCAGATGAAAGCCAATCCGTATCAAACTACTCGTGAACCGGCAGCCAACCTTAGGGAGTCAGTCCACAGTTATTCGNNNNCACTATCCTATTTCTTTTTTATCTGGCTAAGAACCCGCGGCCATTCCTTCGAAAATGAAGACCGTCCGGGACGCTCAATAGAGTTGGATTTGGAGGTGCTGCGGAGCCAGATGAAAGCCAATCCGTATCAAACTACTCGTGAACCGGCAGCCAACCTTAGGGAGTCAGTCCACAGTTATTCGTGGATTGAAGTCAATCGGCAAGGTGCGAAAGTCGGTCTATGAGTGCCTCATGCTTTGAAGCAGTACGACATGGATTCTCTCGCCGACATGGCACTTTCTCTCCCCACGCTCAAGCGCAGGAGATGGTCAGATGTACTCGTCAAAATGTATTTAGAAGAGCTTTCAATACTCTATCTAATGATGCCTCGCGCGTCCATTTTCGTCACCTATTTCCCGAGTTATGATCTCTAGGATTCATCACTATCACTTTGTCCGAGGACTTATGACTCAACCTAATATTAATGGTATTAGTTTGGGAACAGCATTCACAACTAAACAACCAAGATGACAAAAAACTCATTTAATCTTAGATAGCGATTGTTGTAGTACAATTATTGAAGAACTAATTAAGCATAGTAAATGGGTGCGATTGCGTTTTCGATTTTATACACGAGGTCAGATCCGATAATCTTTGTCGTCTTTTCCCATTCTTCACGATGGCTGCGCCGAAACTCTCTGAGAGCCATTGTTGCCGCCCTCTGTAAAGCAAAAAAGTGATACATAGAGAATGCAGCTTCCTTCCCATTCGAAGAAACACTCGTCCGATATCCTCAGCTGTAGGCACACAATATCGATCTCATTTTTATTTTTACATCCGTACACATGCCTACACCATTTCATCATAAAACTGAATAGGGGTGACCCCTCGACAAGGAAACATACATAATCACGTGCAAGAGTCGGCTACAAATTCTGGCATATCAGCAGAGTAATTATCCAAGCCCTCGAGGTGATGTTATCGCTCTAAGGCTTGAATGAGAGCACAAAAAAAACCAAACTTGTCCCTTCCACTCCGTCATTGTGCAGGATACATGCGCATTCAAATGCTACTATAATAATTCTCAGTAAAGGTAGAATTTTAAACGTCTCATAACGGGACTGTTCAACTTTTGAAACCTTATCCTTTTTTCCTTTATCGAGCTGAACGGCTCATCGGCAAATTATGTCGTTTCAGGAGCAAGAAACTTCAAGAGTCTGAGAACAAATTGTTAGCTTGCCACTAGAACTAACCTGCAACTCCGCGCTATGACTCGTGAAGGTGCATAGTGACTGCAGCAGAGGAACGATGAATGGTGGCGTTGAGTAGGGATGTGCCATCACTACTGCACCCATTCCAAGTACGGCCCCATGTAGAGAAGATCGCTCCTTGTCTTTCGAGCACTCATTAATTCTGCCCTAAAAATATGCGGTTCTTCAAATCTTTTTGGGATTTCCAAGGAGCTGACTGATGAAAATGAGACTGACCAAAAGAAAGCTGTCCACCTTAATATAATCGCAATGAATTAATGTCATCATACATCGCGAAGCTTCCAGTCGCACCTCCATCTTGAATAGCTCTCGATTACTGTTGTCCCCTACTAATTACCATAACCACAAATTGCACACCTGACTGTCGACCAGGGCTTCAAAAAGCAATCGCACCACCTTCTTCGTTCGTTGATTCATCTCGAGTACGTAGATATTGGAGAAGACTATCACTTGTAGAAACTTCAACACCGAGACTCGTACACGCCAAAGACCAGTACGATGAAATGTCTAAACAGCTTTGAGAATTTTGAGAGCTTTCGCTGTCGTTTGGAAGTTAGGGTTCTCCTCTAGCCATATGTAACTTGGAGGGTGAAGCTTGATAGTGAGGAGAAGAAATTATCTTTCGGCTTTCGTTTTCATCTATTCACTATTCAAGGGGGTGGAAACAAAGTTTATATCATCTTTTCGCCTTTCAATTCATTTTTCTGGAGCTATATCAAACATCGTATGTCTATGTCATCTACTCAGTTGTGCCGTCGAGAATCTTCGATTGGGAATGGAGTTGCTATATGAACAGCGTTTTTTAACGGTTTTCTCATTTTCTTGTATTCGTTTGCTCACCCTTATAACGATGTCCAGAAATGGCTCGGCGAACTTTTCAGTTACCAGCAAACTTGACATATACTCATGTACCAATACACTTGCATTATTCTTGATGTCAATGTCTTTGAAAGACTCGTTTTGTCTGAAAGGTGGTTTCTCACTTGACTTTACATTGGGCGAAGTTCGGAGAGTCACAAGAGGCTTTTGGGCGTGACTACTGCACTCATTCCCCTCAGTAATATCTGCTCCGCATATGTACGTCCATCCATGAATTGCCCAGAAACTCGAAGCTCCTGATATTTTTGAAAAAGTCTCCAATTAAAAGTCAAATAAAGTGATTAGTCAAATATTGTGCACCAAATTTCAAGATCGAAAAGAGACACATGGGCTAGCTTGCTCGGACCAGCCCAATAATTTCGAGTAGTTGAAGTTACTCACTCCGTTTCGTCTTCGTTAGCATACTCGATTATCATCGGAAAAAGAGACACTATCCCTGGTGTTAGGCACGTGATACAATCTTCGTAATACTGCAGTAGAAACTCCAGTAATGTTCGCAGGTATATGAGAGGCTGCTACAAGATATTACCCGATTGATCAGTTGTCCTACGTATATGTTCCTAATAGTTTACCTCGTTCTTTGTAGGAGTGGAACATTGCGCCTTGTCATCGTCTTGTTTCTCATTTGAAGGTGCCGATTGGACCTTTTGTGGCTCAAGGAAATTCTCAGATGCCGTCTTGGGAGGGCTTGCTAGCATGTCCAACTGTAAACCTTGTATTATACAGACATTCCATAACTGAATCCTGATATTAGCCCTTCGAGGGATGAAAGGTTTTCCCGTGTTAAGCAGAAGAGACAATGAAGAATCCTATGAGTGTCCCGAGCAATAAATAGCAAAAATAAGGCTTAAGAAATGAGGCTTTGAGCGAAATCCATTCACTAGCGCTGGTGGAAAAACAGAAGTAGCTGAGTAAATAAGACAAAGAAAGTCATGAATAAACAAAATTGTGGTTTATACCCAAGAGCTTCTTGATCGACACTGATTGCTTCTCGAGATAGGAACCTGTACCAGGTCCACAAGAGGGGAGTGTGTATGTGTTATTATCACCCAATTCATGATTTTCTGCTCTCGACAGAAGATTTTGAAGCCACTCTTCGAATTTTTCAAAATACACATTTTTCCTTTGTTTTTTGATCAACTTGGAACATATGTCCTAGAACCACACTAAGCGCTGAGGAACAACAGCTTCGTCAGCTGTGTAGACGAGACGCATAAGTTGTTTCAAGTAAGAGGAACATCCAAACAAGCACCTTTTTCTCGAAACGTCCCAACCACACGTCGACACTTTCGAGTCGAAATCTCTCTGGTAGATTCTGTAGATCGTTGTTCATGTTTGCCTCCAATACGGTACAAACATGTTTCAGTGATCTGAAATAGGAAAGCAATAAGATGTAACGTCGGTTTTCGTTAATCAATTTAAAGCCCAAAGAGTATTACGTTGAGATTCCAATCCGTTGAGTCTCTATGACTGCTTTTGGAAGGCTCTTCCAGGCAATCTCACAGATTCTACGGCGAGTTTCCGTTTCACGCCAGTCAGTTGCAAGAAGCACGTAAGAGCGACTGAACATTGATTGTCTCATCATAGTCTTAATCTCCTTCTAGTTTTCAGAAATATTACATTCCCTGATGCCAAGCCGTAGGCGCTGGACGTGTCATGCTGTTGAGAAACCGTTCAACTAACCACCAAAATCGTCGAGTGTCGTCACGGTTCAGCACCTGAAATAGTGCACAGCAGACTATTCCGAAAAATTTTTTGCAGTTGGTTGTACTCGTAAATCTCTTACATCGGTGATACAACTTTGCCATGCTGAATAGGCATCCGCATTCATGTGGTCGTAGAGATTGTCTATCGCCGGCGCCAGCCATTGCCACAACTGATCCAATTTCTTGAAGCCAATATATTTGGTGCCTTTTGCAACACCCGTGAATATCTCGGCCGCTAGACGCTGCTCTGCTCTCTGAGTTCAATTTAGTTAAAAAATCGAGTAGTTGACGACGACAGAACGGAGAGCGATAGAAGACAGGGACAGAAGGGGCATTCCTTCTTGTTCACAAACAATGATGAAATCTTGTTTGACGTAGAAGAATTCTTCAGAAGGAAGACATTTTGTATAGGGTTCGGTTAGTTTCTACTCGGTCATCGCAAATATTTTTTGGTAACGATCGAAAATATACATTAACATGTGAACAAACTCTCATGCATAATGATAATGGTCGGTAAATGGTCACCTTCCTGCTTTTTAAGAGTTCTTGTAGTGTTGTAGTAACTCGTTTGTAGATTACATCACTCGCGGGAAAGTTACGTAGCAGGTACTGTAATAAATAAATTGACAAGAAATTGCAAAGTGGTTGCGAACTAAGTTCGTATGAGATTCCACTTGATTCACTTTTATCATCCAAACTGTATTGTCGTTAACTTCTTTCGAGTCATTCTTCTCAATTAGCAATAGGGCTATCCATTTTTCGAATAACGTTTCATCTTCAAACGCCGTAACTATGGCCTTTTCACAATCACTGAGAGGAGTGCGATTGATTTGTGGCTTGGAAGCGTAGACGACTACACTGATGTGGCTGGAAATGTGTTAATTAATTAAACAGGAGAATTATGCCCTCTTGTCTACAGTATATTACGCTAAGGTGTGATAGAAAGAAGAAAAAAGGTGGGGGAGTTTTACTTTTAATAAAGCAATCTCTTTTTCCCACGAAAGTTTTTGCGGAAAGCGTGCCAAACGGATATGAGATTGTGGCTGCTGATATTTATGCATCGGAATCAACCTGTCGTTTGAACCTAGTTTACAGAACTCCCAGGTGTAACGCAGCTAATACTGAACAAATGGTGAAATGTTTAAGTGATCTCTCTATTTGTCACTCTACATGTCTTCTGGTTGGTGACTTCAATTTCCCCGATATTACTTGGAATAGTACGCCTTCGGCTAATTCTACTTTGTCGCGATATTTTTTAGATATGCTTCGCTCTCATAACTATATCCAATCTGTAGGTTGCTATACTCGTAAAACGAGTCTACTTGATTTGGTTCTCTGCAACACTAAGAGATTCGTACAAGATGTTTTCATCGGTCCCCCTCTGGGTAGTAGTGATCATGCCACCATCAGTTTTAGTCTCAAAGCTTCGGTCAACGTATCCAAGCAAGTTTTGAAGAGAGATTTCAAAAATGCCCCATATAGCCAGGTGGGGGTCTATCTTTCGGACGTTGTTTGGATAGGTTCCTTCATCTGTTGCAAGGATACTAACGAAATGTACGAGCTGTTCATATTGATTTCCAAAAAGCCTTTGACAAAGTGTGCCATACTAAACTAATTGCAAAACTATTACAAGTTGGAGTGCACCCGAGAATAGTACGATGGATAGAATCTTTTCTGTTCGAGCGTACTTTCCAAGTGAGGGTGAACAATTCGTTCTCCTCCGTCAGGTACTCCCCCAGTGGAGTGCCTCAGGGAGGGGTCTTATCTCCGGTTCTATTTAATGTTTATACCTTTGATCTTCCTTCTACGGTTGAGAGCCATGGAGTATGCTGCAAGATGTTTGCTGATGATATAAAGATTTATAAACCATTAAGGTCTTCCGATGACTTTCTTGCTATTCAGAGAGCCATCGGCGGTATCCTTGATTGGTCTAAAGCCTGGTGTCTTCCCATTTCAATTGTAAAAACCAAAGTACTGCATCTGGGTAAAAACAATGTCCGTAATACCTACTCTATTTCGAACTCTCCCATTGCAGTTGCCTCGGTTGTTAAAGATCTTGGTTTTACAATCACCAGTGAGCTATGTTTCGATGCGCATTGCCTTAGCATAGCTGCTAAAGCGGAATCTAGGCTTTTCCTTCTCCTTCGTGCACTTTTCAGTAAGGATCCTACCGTTCTGCTCAAAGCCTTCAAAATGTACGTACGACCTATACTTGAATATGGAACCGTAATTTTTTCACCATATAAGAAGAGAATTATTCAGTACATCGAAAGGGTTCAAAACAGCTTCACAAGGAAAGTTTTTATTAGAGCCCTTGGTTACACTTACAATAGCATCCCTCGTGCTATTGTAAGGAACAAAATGTTGAATTTAGACTCCCTTAATAAAAGGAGAGTAGTGAATGATTTGATGACGTTGCATAAAATCATTACGGGCACAATCTCACTTGGTTCTACCAAATTGTTCACCTTCAAATCTTCGAAAACAAGAGGGAACCCAAGCAAAATATGCTTTGCTCCGGTCACAACCTCTCTAGGGAAGCAATTCTTTACGCACAGAGCTGGTTCAGAGTATACCAAATTGATCAAAAAAACTAGTGTCTCACTTAATCTAGCTAAGGCGAGATGAGAAATTTCTCAGTTCCTCAGGAATCACAGCTAGTTGTCACCTTAGTCATTATTGTTGTGTTGTCTCTAATAATGTGGTTACTGTTATTCTGCATACATATGGATATGTGTATCCATTTATGATTATATATCAATTTGTTGTTCATATTGTTCACTAATAATTGTTGTTCTCCATTAGTTGTTTTTTGTGTTCTTTTAGATGTTTATAATCACGTTCTAGGTACATGTTTGAATGTGTTTGTTTGCTTTCATTTTATTTTCTTTCACATGTTCTTTAAGGACATGTAATAAATTGAAAATTGTAAAGCAGAGAATCTTGTTGCATACGTTATTGCTCGGTCAGTATGGGGAGCTGTGTATTTCCCTGCACAACACTGCCCTTTTTGAACAATCATGCATTATGTACTTCGGTACAGCCTCAAAAAAAATCCTGCCTAGTTGGGAACTTTTTAACTCACGGTGGCCACTGATAGCTCCCATGTGGCTTCGAGAAGAAAACTGTTTTGTTCCATTTGTCTTCAGTTATTGGCAAATTTTGTGAGTCGTAGACCAGAGGCAGGTTATCCATACGTAATCCACATTTTAAGAAAATTGATTCAGCCTCAAAGAATTTCGCATATGATTTGGAACTGTTAAGTAGCGCGAATCTCACCTTTTTGGGACATGTCCAGTTCATTCGAATAGTTTTCGGCTTATTCTTTTTCAGCCAAAAAGAAAGCTCATCGGAACTTCTATCCCGCAAGTACTCTTCGTCATCAACAAACTTTCCGATTAGAACCTTGAGTAAGGCAATCATTATGAAAAACGAACATCACTGCTGTCAACACGTTTTGAAGGTTATATTCGAGCCAGGTTACACCTATCACCTATCCAAATGTTCACAGTTCTCATTGAGTCGGTTTCAAAGAATCGTTCAATGTATCAGAGATAGAAGGCCCCCCACTTGCTTTCTTTTCAGGAAAAAGCATAACCAGGTCAAGGTGTTTGACGTTTTTTGTGAATTAGTTTGTTCTTGCTTCCAATTTGCTTCAGATTCTGATGTGTTTTGTCTTCTAGTAACACGATCGAATTGACCACCTATACTTTTGCAACGTTTCTATCTCTGCATGATTATAGCACTGCACGCTCATTTTGCGATCTTTCTATATCCGTCCGCCCAGTCCCGAAGCTAGATTATTAGTAGCCATTCTCAGTTTGCTTCTCTCCATAAATTCCTTGTTTCTTATGCTGTTCAGAAGATTGTTCATCTTCCATACTTCTCTAATTACTTTTTCTTACTCTTAGCAGTATTTGCCGTTTGTAGTAGCCCTATTTCTCTGGTTTGTTTCGGGTAACTTGTTCATTTCTCTACTTCATCGCTGCTTTACTGCTGTTCCCTCTCTTTCTCTGAGGCAAGAAGCCGGCTAGGTGGAGCGTGCTTTCGTTGATGTTGAGGCCTTCATTTTTTATGTGTGCTGGCTGTTTGAGGATCCTGTGAGACGAATAACCCTTCAGCTGAAGTCTCACTTCGTCTGCTCGCCTGTGGCTCCAAATCGAATTTGCTTCATATTTGNGTAACTTGTTCATTTCTCTACTTCATCGCTGCTTTACTGCTGTTCCCTCTCTTTCTCTGAGGCAAGAAGCCGGCTAGGTGGAGCGTGCTTTCGTTGATGTTGAGGCCTTCATTTTTTATGTGTGCTGGCTGTTTGAGGATCCTGTGAGACGAATAACCCTTCAGCTGAAGTCTCACTTCGTCTGCTCGCCTGTGGCTCCAAATCGAATTTGCTTCATATTTGAGCTTTGTTGTCAGCAAGCCCTAGTTACTATTGCTTCTCTTGGCATAATGGGCCAGTGTAACACGAAGAAGCTTTTTTTCACAGGGGAAAACAGCTCTCCTGTTCCATATGAGAAAGGTCCCAGCATTATTTCATAAATGCTCCCTTACTAGTTTCTTGCTTCCCTCTCTGGCGTTATCGTCAATTTTTTTAAGTCAATGTATACACATTTTTCCCGTTTTCAAAGGACCATCGCCTTTCAGTTTTTGCTTTTGCGCTGTATGGCACACCCTTGGGTGTATTAAATAAATAAATAGATAAATAAAATATCTCTCTGGCATCATCGACTTATCTCCATTGTTTCGAACGCTGAAATTTCATAAGCTTCACGTACAACTGTAGTGGATAAGGAGGAAGCCGGCATAGAGGTGCTATTACAGTGCTACGTACTGTATTATCACTTCACTTGTTCCGAGAGAAACCCAACAGCAAGCACATCGACAACCATCGAGCCGTGTTCGACATTTACTCGGCTTGATGCAGTGGTAAGCGTGACGATTCGTGTAGGAGAGGCTAGGGTTCGAGTTTTGTGGGTAACGGGGTTTTTGCATTGTATAGACTAGAAGATACTCTCATGGTGGTTTTATCACGTTTTATGACCTTTCAGCGCTTTTGCTGTCGCCTTTTCCCACCTGCGCACCTGTTACCGAGTGGAAGATTCCTCTGTGCGCAAAATTTGGAGGTAGTAAAGGGCAAAGTAAAACGCCTATGATGAGCAATGACAATGCTAGAGTGGGTGTTGATGCTAGATTGGGTGCGATGGCGACTCCGGACTCACCAACACCGGCACTGTTACAGTGGATTCGTGAACATCACTCAGAGACTAGACAGCTGTTCAGTGCGGCTTTCCTCCACAAAAGCAACAAAGGGGAAGGGACTGGCACCCTGCTCGAGGTTACCACGAGGCTAATACAGCCGATAAAAGTTTCTCCTTTAAAAATATGGTTGAGCGCACCACTTCATATGTAATAGCTCATGATTTCAACTTTTGTGTGTACACACGAGACCCCATTCCACGCTTACTACTTGTCTACTTTCGCTTCTATGCTGCTTGATTTGGGAAATTTCCTTTTATTCATGGTATGCCGCCGGCTACATAAACACTCATCCAGGTGATTTGAGACTCCTACACAGTTCTGTTTTCCCTCTGATTTGGGGTTAGTAAGTAAAGCAATGGGTTGTGACGAGTTCTTTTTCATTGCTCCCACTGTGAGAAGCTTCTTTGTTGCTACCATCACGTGCTAAAGTAGCACATTTATTCATCAAGTGGCAAAAGTTATCCTACTGTGAATATAGAGTGCATGGGCATGCGAGTAAAACTGAAGTTATGTGTGAAGTCATTAATTTATGTGATAAGTATCAGCAAAAGGAAAAATCCTCATTATAGTATTTTCTAGTCCTTAAGGAAAAAATTTTATATAATGCGAAAATTCCGTCCCCCACAAAACCTGAACCCTAGTCTACCGCACCTGAAGCGTCACGCTTACCACTACACCAAGCCGTTCTTAAGAAACGAGTCACATCCATGTAATTTAAATTTTCTTATG